GCCCCAGGAAGCCAGAGATCATGCCTGGTTCCCCTCCAGTGGTCAGAGCACTCTCCTCCCCTCAGGCCCACCACCCCCGCAGGGAGCTTCCTGGCCTGTCTGGCCTTTGCAGAAGCTGGCACATCAGATGCTCAAGGAAACTCACCCATCCTGATTCATCAGGGACAAAAGGCCCTGAGAAGAAGAGCCCCGCTGGGGTGACTTTCACACTACTCCCACATGCACAATTTCCAGCAGTTTCCATTTTGACCCAGCTCTCCTTTTCCTCCATCTCTGGCTCTTTGACAAACATCATGGCTGCTCCCACTGGGGACAGTCTTGGCCTCTTGACAACACAAAGAAGCAAAGATAAAACCACACCTTAATAAACAGTCTAAGATGCCCCGTGTGGAAATAGAGGAGTATTGAGCATGTGAGAAAGGAGCATGTGAGCCCCCCTTGGGGCTCTCTTGGGAGTCACTGCAGAACTGCCTGGGTGGCCCTCTGTCAGCCGGCTGTGAACCCCACCCTGCCCTGTGAGGACTCATAGCACTGGCTGGAACAAGTAAACAGGACTCTCCAGAGGCAGAGAAGTCACGAGGAGGTCACAACCCACAAGGTGTGGCCTTCGCAGTTTCTTTATGGTGACCATAGGCTGCATTTCCCAGACTACATGATAACAACCATCACCTCCTTGGAGATTTAGATTCGTACTTAACATTTCAATTCATAACATTTTCAACAATTCTCCCAGGTGGTTCTTATCTTCTGAGGAGGTTTAGGGAGGAAGTGTAGGCGACACTGAAGGAGCCGCCTCCACCTGGCAGGAGCCCCACAGATCCTGGCAGACTCAGCCAAACTTTGAGGTCTAGTTCCTAGTTCCTTCCTTCCAACCGACTCCTTTCCTAAGACAATCTGGAGTGAGGCCTGTCCGGAGAGACACACTGCCCATATGGCCTCGGTCCTCTGCACAGCACCCCCATCAGAAGGCCAAAGTCACTCCCTCATGTCTGAGAGGGACCAGAACTCCTTCTGCCCGTCCTCACCCTACTCCAAACTCTCAGGTAGAAATTAATAACTATGTCCTCGCCTTCCCCTCTGATCGCCAGCTTCCTTTGGCCTGCCCCATTCCTTCTTAGCTTACATGCTGATGGAGAGATACCAAAGGGAGCTTACCTCGTCCAAAACTGCTTTAACTTCAGTAGAGTCTGGTTAATTGGGTTAGTCCACTTAACTGGACAAAGTTATTCACAAGGGTTTTTCACTGTATCCAGAGACACCATGGTGACACTTCCCACCATGGGTGGGTCATTCCACCTGAATCTCCAGACCTCATCACTATTTTATTTATGGGGAGTCATCAGGTCTCTTGAAATCATAGTAAGAAAGTCTGGAGTAAGATTTTATGTACCGATGATAATGTTTGGTGTTCAAAAACAAGTAACACACATAAAAAGACACCCGATGCAAATCAAAACCTCAATAAAATACGATTCATATCAACTAGGAGAGCCATAATTTTTTTAAAAATGGAATAGAAATGTTAGTGAGGATGTGGAAAAACTGGAACTCTTATACGTTGCTGGTTAGAATGTAAAATGCTGTGCCACTGTAGAAAATCTAAGGTTGGCTCGGCACCTGTGGCTCAAGTGGCTAAGGCACCAGCCACATACACCTAAGGTGGCAGGTTCAAATCCAGCCCGGACCCGCCAAACAACAATGACAGCTATAACCAAAAGATAGCCAGGCATTGTGGCAGACGCCTGTGGTCCCAGCTACTTGGGAGGTGGAGGCAGGAGACTTGCTTAAGCCCAGGAGTTGGAGGTTGCTGTGAGCTGTGATGCCACAGCACTCTACCCAGGGGGACAGCTTGAGGCTCTGTCTCAAAAAAAAAAAGAAAAGAAAAGAAAACCTAAGGTTAACATATGATCCAGCAATTCCACTGCTAGAACTGAAAATAGATACTTCAACAAATTTCTGCATGTGATTATTCATATCTACACTACTCACAACAGCCAAAAGGTGAGCACAACCCAATGCCCATCAAAGAATGAATGGATAAACAAATCGTGATATGGGCTCAGCGTCTGTGGCTCAAGTGGCTAGAGCACCAGCCACATATACCAGAGCTGGCAGGTTTGAATCCAGCCTGGGCCTGCCAAACAATGACAACTACAATCCAAAAAAAGCCAGGCGTTGTGGCGGGCGCCTGTAGTCCCAGCTACTTGGAAGGCTGAGGCAAGAGAATCGATTAAGCCCAAGAGTTTGAGGTTGCTGTGAGCTAGGATGCCACAGGACTCTACCCAGGGTGACAGCTTGAGACTCTATCTCAAACAAAAACAAAAACAACAAATCATGTTATGTACAGACAATGGAGTATTACTTAAAAAGGAATACTCCTTTATTATAAAAAGGAATAAAGAGCTGGTATATGCTGCAACATGGATAAACCTTGAAAACATGTTAAGACACAAAAGGTCTTACATCCTTCATGTTCACATGGATGGAGCTGGAAAATGTTCTTCTTAGCAAAGTATCACAAGAATCGAAGAAAAAGTATCCAATGTACACACCCCTATCATGAAATTAATTTATACCTTTTATATGAAAGCTATAACCTAATAACAGCCTAAGAATACAGGGAGGGGGGAGGTAGAGGGGAGGGAGGAATGGGTGAAGGGAGGAGGATTAGAGGGATCACTTCTGTGGTTTATCTTACAAGGGTACAAGTGAATCTTTCTAAGAGTAGAATATGAACGTTTTAACACAACAACTAAGAAAATGACATGAAGGCTATTTTAACCAGTTTGATGGAAGTGTTTCGGATTGTGTGTGAAAACACCACACTGTAACCCAGAAGTGCATTAATGTACATAGTTACCATTCAATAAAAAAGAAAAAAAATTATACAAACTTAAAAAAAAAAGACACAAAAGGTCACACACTGCACGATCTCACTTGTGTGAAATACTCAGTACAGGTAAAAGCCACAGCAACAGAAACTCAGATTGGTGGGGGGGGGGTGGAGGGAGGCAGAGAAGGATGGGGAGTGACTGCTGAGTGAGCATGGGGTTTCCTTTTAGGGTGATGGATATGTTTTAGAATTAGGTAGAGATGGTGATTCGCACAACATTGTGATGTGTTAAATGCTTAAATGCCACTGATTTGTTCACTCTGAAACAGTGGTTCTCAACTTGTGGGTCACAACGCCTTTGGGCTGTGTTAAAGGTTCGTGGCATTAGGAAGGTTGAGAACCAGTGCTCTAAAGTGTCTGTTTTACTTAAATAAGAAAATAAAGTTAGCACAGCTAAGAAAAAAAAGTCACAGTGCGTTTTCAGAAGCTGTCATCTTCTGCCAGCACCTTGACGGGCAAAGAAAACATCTTGCTGTGACCAAATGATTTGCCCCAGCTACGCTGCATGTGATCTCAGCCCCATGATAAACACCCTCACACTTTGACCGTGTTCCCTGCTCAGGTTCCCAACCTCTAGCATCGGTTCCTGGTGTGCTGAACACAGAATAGTGTCCCATGACCAGGTCACACTGATTCCTGGGCATTTCTAATGGCTTCTTTAAATTTGTTAGCAAATAAAAGTAAAATACCAAGTTGAAAAACCAGCGCTGAGCCATTAAAAAGCCACTTGATTATATATGAGAACCCAGAAATATTTAAAAGTGATTCTACCTAGAAGTTTCAGCTTAATCATTTAAAACAAATAACAGCAGAAGGAAGTGGTGATAATCTACCCTTTGTTCTAATTTTAAAATGTGAATAATTAACCTTCCAGGAAGGAAAAAAAAAACAGCAGAATTTTAAGAGTAGTTCAAACCAATAAACATCCAATTTAAAAACAGATTAGCACTGCTGGTACAGAGCCACCTCTGACTTATCAAGGTGGCAATTCACATGAAATCAGTCATTACTTCGGTCAAACTGTTGGAGCACAGATGCCCATTAGCTCTGTCTGCAGGCACTTGAATGCTGGCATACTGATACCACACTGATAAGGGGAGGAAGAATTATGGCTTGTATAGAAGGCATTAAAAGTTCACATTTTTGCTTTTTCAAATTTTATTACTGAAAACATGCTATGTTATTATAGATTTCATATTCTAAAAATCAGTATTAGGTAGAAATACTAATATTGGTCATTATTCCTTAAGGCTTATATCTAGAATTAAGTAAATATATATTACCTTCCCCAACTATACAAAGTTCACAGCCAGGCATTGTGGAGGGCACCTGTAGTCCCAGCTACTTGGGAGGCTGAGATAAGAGAATCACTTAGGCCCAAGAGTCTGAGGTTGCTGTGAGCTGTGACGCTGCAGCACTCTACAGAGGGTGATAAAGTGTCACTCTGTCTCAAAAAAATAATAAAAAAAGGTGGGGGGTGAGCTAGTTGCCAACGTGTCTCAAGCATTTTTTGTCAAGAAATTTCACTATAAGGAGACTCCAGGGCATCACTGTGCTCATGACCACCCTAGCATAGAGGATCCCTAATTATCTTCTTACAAAAAGAAAGAAGAAAGAGAAGGGGAGTGGGGGGAGGAGAGAAAGAGGAAAGGGAAGAAGAGGAGAAACAAGAAGTTAAGAGAATAAATAATCTCGTTTCTCTGTTCCAGAAGCAACTAACTCCAGAGACAGAATGAACCCAGCTAAACATTAACAGCTGCTTCTGGTTGGCCTTTGACAGCAGGGTGGGGACAGGAGCTGGCCTTTCAGAAACCAGCTAGCTAGGTTCAAAAACCAAGCTCTGCATTTAGAAGCTAGGTGACCTTGAAGAAGCTAATTAGCCTTTCTGAGGCTTTGTTTCTTTACCCATCAATAAAAATAATCTCACCTACCTCCTAGAGTTGTCCTTCTGAGGGAGAGGGCCTGGCTATGAGCCTGCCCTGTGGACACTTTGCCTTGCCCCTCACCTGACACTCTTAACAGCTGGGATCTAGCCTGGAAGGCTTGTGATCCTCACCATCCCAGGAAAATCAGGACATAGCCAGTGCTATTGAATTTTTTATTAAAAAACAAATTAAATAAAATAGCGATTCATTATATATAAAACTGAATTGGAGTCACAGAGCTCATGGTGGGGAAGGCACGGAAGATGGAGATAAGGGTGTGCCCGCGGTGTTGTCTTTCTCTTCATATCTGGGAGGCGATTCAGATGAGAGATGTGGTGTGTGTGAGATCTCGAAGGATGGGCTAGTCCCAGAAATAGTATACACAGATTCGCGGTTTCTCTCCGAGACTGTGCCCTGGCTCTCAGGAGTTGGGGTCCTGCTAAAGAGAAAGAGAGGCCATGAAGGGGTGGGGACAAAAACGGTGGTGCCACTTAAGTGCTAGGTTCTTTTCAAACATTTAATTACATGCATTTAAAAGCATCTGCCAGGATCTGAGAAGTAAGAAGGTGCCTCTTACACATCCTACTTTTTACAGATCTGTTTTTATTCCTCACCTCTCATTTTTCTTAGAAAATGATTGTGACATTGAACATCTTATTTCTGTTGTCATTCCCCTGTCATTGAAAAGACATTGAGCCAGGCCTGGTGGCTCACGCCTGTAATCCTAGTACTCTGGGAGGCAGAGGTGGGTGGATTGCTTGAGCTCATGAGTTTGAGATCAGCCTGAGCAAAAAGCAAGACTTTGTTTCTACTAGAAAAAAAAAAAAAAATGAGGCAAGAGGATGGCTTGAGCCCAAGAGTTGGAGGTTGCTGTGAGCTATGACGCCATGGCACTCTACCAAGGGCGACAGCTTAAGACTCTGTCTCAAAAAAAAAAAAAGAAAGAAAAAAGAAAGAAAGAAAAAGAAAACAAAAGACATTGGATACAAATGTATAGATGCCATCCAAAGCAAGCAAGCAAGGGTGGCACCTGTGGCTCAGAGGAGTACAGTGCTGGCCCCACATACCGGAGGTGGTGGGTTCAAATCCAGCTCCAGCTAAAAAAACTGCAAAAAAAAAAAAAACCAAAAAAAAAACCAAGCAAGCAAGTGCGCCCACACATGTGCCACACACAGTAACTGTTCTCTGCTATTTTGTCTTCGGAGAAGCAGAAGAAACAGAACATTAAAGCATTAAGCCAAAAAACGCGAAGATGGCAAGAAAGAATGCTGGTTAATGAGTGCTAGCGACAGGAGACCTGCACAGGAATTCACCACGAGGCTTCCCTGTTGTGTGATCCTGGGCGAGTTATTTAACCTCTCTAAGCCTCAGTTTCCTTATCTCTAAAATGGGGGTGATGACAATGCCTTCTTCTTGGAGAGAGGTTGTGAGAATAATGTGAAGTCATGCAAGAAGAGCCGGAGCCTGGAACACAGGAATCAGAGCAGCAGTTTATTTTAAATTACTAGACATTGTTGGGCACGGGGGCTCACACCTGTAATCCTAGCACTCTGGGAGGCCAAGGTGGGTGAACTGCTTAAGCTCACAAATTTGAAACCAGCCTGAGCCAGAGACCCTGACTCTAAAAATAGCCAGGTATTGTGGTGGGCACCTGTAGTCCCAGCTGCTTGGGAGGCTGAGGCAAGAGAACAGCTTGAGCCCAAAAGTCTGAAGTTGCTGTGAGCTATGACACCATAGCACTCTACCGAGGGTAACAAAGTGAGACTCTGTCTCAGAAAATAAATAAGTAAATAAATAACTAGACATTGACTTTATGGTTTGGGGAACTCTACAAATGCCCACCCCTAAGCTGCCCTTTCCCAGCAGGGCAGCTCCAGCACGCGCCTCCCTGGATCCTAGTTCAGTCCTCAACGTGAAGCTCTAAAACCACCTCTGTCCTTGTCAGCCACCTCTATCCCTCTCTCATCAGATATGTCCCCCTGCTTTGTGGAAAAAGCATTTCTACACAATTTCATTCCCACCAGGCCCCAGGGGAAAGGCAGATGTCTCCCTGACCCCCCTCCAGGGCCCATGGCCTGCTCCATCAGGGCAGTGGGGGGATGGGGCTCCTGACTCCGGGGTGTGCCTTGAATACAGAGGACAGGTAAGGGGGGGCCCATCCCAACAATGGTCATGCTCCTTGGCCTGCTTCTCACTGCTTGGAATCACGTATCATGTCTGGAAGCAGATCTGCCAGGGTCCTGCCCACCCCTCCCACCGGGCCCTGGGACAATTTCCAGCAGTCCCCCCTCCCTTCCTACTCCCTGGCTTCCCATTCCAGAAGGTGCCACCAGAGTCTGTTCCAGCCCTGCTCCCTGCGTACTCCATACTAGGGTGCACCAAACCCTCCTCCCAGCGCTCCATAGGACCCCCTCCCAGCCCACCTTCCTTCCTGAGGGTTTCCTTGCCTGCCTGGATTCAGCAACCTCTGTAGCCCCACCTGAAGCACCTCCTCTCTCTCCCAAGACCTAGCTCTGTCCAGGCTGCCTCTAAAGCTGGCATCTCACTGCACGTCTACCGCCAAAATGAGCTCATCTCCCTCCTCCCCTCAGTGGAGACCTCTCCACTGACCCCCCCTGTAAATCGTCATCTCCTCTTCGCCCTCAATGCCATTCTCTGCTCTGGACTCCCTCCCACACCACCTTCCACAGTTTCAGGCTCCTGGTGCCTCAGCCTATCCAAAAGGTTGCCTTCCCTGTGGGATGGGGGTGGACCTTCTGCTGTCTGAGGTCCAGAGAATGGTGGAATAATGAGGGAGGAGCCCAGCTGGGTCAGGTGATGGTGCAGTCACCCAAGTACTGCCATCAGAATACTGAAACCCTTCTTCACCTGTTGGGGGTCCCCAGAATCTAAAGCAGGGAAGCCTAAGGGAGCAGGGACCCCCCTGGCCCGGCTCCAGCACTCAGGGGGATAGGTGGTTGGTAACACTCTGAGGATCACCCCTCTGGGAACACATAAAGATTCCTGGACAAGCCTTCAAATTAACCCAGAATAACCACTTCTATCATTTTGAACTTATGCACTGCTCAAAGTTTCCTGAAAGGTACTGTTAACATCAAGACAGTAGTTTTGACATAACATCAGCTCAAACATCATACTCTCACCACAGCCATAAAGCTAGTTTGGCCTGAACTCAGGCACAGGCCTGAAAAGGTCTGAACTCTTGAAGTTCAAACAGAAAGTCTTACCCATAGTTAAAAATGCTGTAATATGGAGGTGGGTTTTCATTCGGAAGCAGACCGTTAGCCCCCGGACTTCGAGTGACAGCAGCAGCTGAAGACTCCGAAAAGTAAGGTGGGGGAGGGGGTGGAAATACTATCACGGAATCACCTAAGGAAACACAATGTTCAATCGGAAACAGGCAGGTCATAAAGAGAAGCCAATTAGCAAGAGCAAAACAAGCGAATTCCGCGGCCTATCTGTATACAGGTACAAGGTGAAAACAGCTGCTGCTCACTCCAGAATTTAAAATTGGGCCCATTACATTTATAAAGACAGAAAGTAGATAGACTAAGTTACCAGGGGTTGGGGTGGGGGATTATCGTTTAATGGGGAGAGAGTTTCTGTTTGGGGTGAGGAAAAGGCTCTGGAAATTGATAGTGATGACAGTTGTACAACACTGGGGATGTATTCAGTGCCACCAAATTGTACATTCAAAAATGGTCAAGATGGTCGATTTTATGCTACATATATCTTAGCATATATATATATATATATATGTATATATGTGTGTGTGTGTATGCATACACACACACACACATATTTCAGTGGAATTATGTTTCAGAGTCCAGAGTGCTCCCCCTTACAGTGTGGAAGTGGGCCTATACTTCACAGCCAACCTGAGCTAAAGCATTCCTGTGAAGTGTTTGCTAATAAGCTCCCTTCCCTTCTCTGGGATGTGTCCTACTGATAAAGCATGTCTCATTTTCAGGAAAAATGAAGGAAGAGAGAGGGTTTCGCTTTCCTGTAGGGGGGAGACTGGCTCACCCCGGCAGCCCCTCTGATGCCTGCCTAGGTTGGCACAGGATACTTCCAGCAGTAGGGGTTCTGTGTGCCACACTGGAACCCAGCATGGCCCTGAACAAGCCAGGAGACCTCCCGTCAGCCTCAGCCTCCACAGCTGTGAACTGCAGGCCAGGCAGCTCCTCAGTACCTGCATGGGGGAACAGGCAGGTGGCCAAGATGGGGTAGAGCGGAGACAGAGCAAACTCAGCTCTAACACATCAGCCAAGGGGCCGCCTTCACACGCCACCAGCCACAGATACTTATTTGCCCGATGATGACTGCCAAACTGGCAGTGGCTAGTGGCTCCACCCTTCACAGGGGCTCTAATCACTTCCTCTGAGGAAATTTAGCCTTTCAGAAAATGCATTTGCTCCATCTCTCTGTATATATATAATTATATATATAAAATCTCACTAATCTAAACTTAAGAAGGCATAACAGTTGTCTTGGGATTCTCATTTAATTTTTTAGAAGGCCTGGGGCAGTCAGAGGAACTGAGGTTGAGTGTTCATGTTCGTATCACATTACAGAATAAAGGACGGTGGAGTGAGCAGAGCAAGCTTCTAAGGCAGGCCCATCACCTTTCAAAAACAAACAAGAAAAGGCTCAGAGGAAGCCTGTTATCTCCAAGTCTCCCCATCCCTCCTCCACGCAGCTGGCCTCCCACCCCTTGCCACCTGCTCCTCTCTGGAAAGAAGCCGCTCCCCTGGGAGTTCCCTTTAACTCGTCCTTCAGAACTCCATGTCCTCTGTGAGTTGACAGCAGATGCACAACTCAAGGGAGGCTGTCTCAGACACCTGTTGTGGATCCGGGATCTAGCACTAAGTGTGCCCACAAAGAGCAGAGCGTGCTTCTCAGGCTCTAAAATATAAACCCCACCCCACAATATCAAAGGAGAGAAAAACAGGAAGATGCCAGATTTTCACATATTTGATGGGCTTAAAGGGTTAAATGGAAAAGATTTTCAACTCTGCAGTGCCAGCCTGGGGACAACGGACCACCAAGGAACAGCACCAGCACTTCTGCTCCTTGTCTCCAGCCTAGACCCAGCCACCAGCATCTCCTCTGCTAGCAGACCCAAAGAGCATACCAAGTGGAGGAATATGAGCATTCAATGTATCTCTTTACCTGTACCCTACTGTGTTCCCCCAAAGGGCTGAACACTGAGTGAGGCCTCTCCTCCTGTAGCAACTCGGAGGAACACTAGCTGAAGGTTGAAAAGAATTATACCCAAGTATCCTGGGGAGGGTGCTATGCAAGGGCTATACCGTATGGGTGCCCTCCCACCTGGGTTTGGATCCTGCTCTGCTACTTGCTATTTTCTGACCTTGGCTAAGCCATTCAATATCTCTGTGCCTCAGTTTCTTCACACCTAACATGGAGACACTAAGAGTAACTGCTGCCTTGGGTTGCTGTAGGTGTGAATGAATTTTATACATGTGGCCCTTTAAGAGTCTATGAGAAAGCACTCAGATGGGTGTCTGGCACACTAATAGACCCTATATTAAGTGCTAGCTATTATTAATATATGTAAATATTTGTGTTGTCACCATATATATAGAAGTGCACGACTAAGTAAACCAGAAGCATCAACCATGGCTCAGCACAAGTAACAGCTATAAATCTATCTGCCCTTCTTCTTCAAGGCTGGGGCCATGCGAGGCCTGGTTAATTCCCTGCAGTCAGAGTATCCTGGTGGTTCCGGCAGACAGCCTACAAACATGGGAAACATCACACTTGTCACACACCCTCTCAGTGCCCTCCAGGGTTTCTGCTCTGCAGTCCTCTTCACCTCGACTTTTAAATGCCCATGGATTCAGAGCTTTGCCCTTTCAAAAGTAGGGGACTGGAAAAAAGTGATTTGCAAATGAGCAGTGATGGGGTTTTTCCACAGCTGTGGGAGGCCCAGCCAAAGCTTCTGATGTTGTTCTGGGGGCGGGGGGGGGGGGGGGGGGGGGGGGGGGGGGCTACCACTGGGAACTGCTACTCCATCTCTCCTGGGGAACCCAGGGGGCCCAAAAGGAATCTCTAGGCATCCTATGGGAGAAAAAAGTGACAGATGCTGTCACATTCCATCTCAGGCTGTGCCATTGGTTCCAAGCTTTTTCCCCATCCTGTAACCAAGGATGAAGTCATAGAAGATAGAAGACAATGCAGAAACAGCACTGAGGTCCCTCAAGTGCCTGCAGACTGGCAGACACGACTCAGAATCCTAGAATGTCAGTGCTCAAGGGATCTGCTAACACACTGCTCTTTATTTATAGAGATGTAAACTAAGGCAGGAGCTGTTAAGGACTTACCAAGGACAGGCAATCAGTGACAGCCAGGCAGGGGAACCCAAGTGTCCCACAACTAAAAGTGCTATATGGTTTTAGTGTGAGAATAGCAGGGAAAACAGGGGCACTTAGTGGGTCCCTAAGGTGGCAGAAGGCTCCAAGGCTGTCCTCACAGTTCTTCTCACTTTCCTCCTAACTTGTTCTGTGACCTCAGTCAAGGTCACTACTTAATGTCCCAATGAATACCGGTTGGTGGGGGGAAGTAATGAACACAAGGCTTCCTACAGGCATCCCACACCAGCACTACTTTGTGTGTGTTTGTGTGTGTGTGTAAATGAGAAAGAGAATGGGGACTAGACCCAGGGCAACGTGGAGAAACTGTGATGCAAAGCCACTGTGACAGGAGCAAGGACACAAACAGCAGCCACGTACCTACGGTGACCTGGACGGGCTCCGTGCTCTGGGTCTGTCTCTCTTCTCTGTCAGGGGCATCCTGATCAGCATTCAGTTCATTTCTCTTCTTGACGTGGGCGACTACGAAGAAACATAATCCCACGAGAACAATTAAGGGCCCCATGATCTGCAGAGAAAGGAAGCCACAGATCTGGGGCTCCTCATCAGCAGAGTCTGTGTCGTTCAGCGGTTCCTGTTCCCAGCCTGAGCCGCATCCAGGGACCCAGACGCCCAGCACACTGATGAGCATGCCGCTTGTCAAAAAGAGAAATCCGAAGACAAGGCACTGGGCAAACTGGCGGCTCTCCCCACAGATGAAGGCTTGGTCGGGGTCTGCCTGGTGGCCTTGCCGCCGCCCCTGATGGAACCGAAGTCGTGCCCGGGAGCGGGCCAGGATCACAGCCCCAAGCCCAACCATGGCACATGCAGGGCCTGCAACCTTCAGCACCATGCTACAGTGTGGCAGGGATTCATATTGGCAGGCCTGGAATCCAAAGATGGAGAGCAGGACCCCCACGCACAACAGGATGGCTCCAAAGACAAAGAAGAAGAAGATAAGCTTGCTGACCAGCCTGTCCTGCTGCTCCCCATCTGGCTCAGCAGCAGCTGTGGGAGACATGGCCGGGAGACGCCTCCTCCCCGAGGCAGGGGGCTGTGTTTCCTTTGCTCCAAGATCTCAACACCTCTGCAAACATAACCAAACACCAAATTACAGCAGGCTCCCTGTTCTTCCGCTGATCATTTTAGAAATCACACCAGGATGAAGTCATAGGGGGTACAACACCATGCAACTGACACGCTGTGAACAATGAGTCGGTTTATGAGTCAGAAGATCTGGCATTCAGAAACTCCTGAATATGTAATTTTATGAAGATATTGAAAAAAAGGAAATTCAATCACCGTGCATCTAACGTATCTTTAAAACCAAAACAACAAAACTGACTGGGTGTGGCCTTTCCTGTTCTGAGTTGTACAGATTCATTTCCCCAGGCAAAATCATGGGGGACTGTGGGGAGAACCAAAAGGATTATTCCTGATTTACAGTTGCCCCACTTTTCATCATAGCTGCTCCTATCATTTCCAGTTAGTGAATTTTTGTTTGGTAACTAACTTTCCATTTCCTGTCTTAGACGCTGGCAACTTTCCATGTCATGTTTTATTCTACAGCTACATCTGCTAAAGACCCAAGCCCAGTAGCTTCAACGGAATGGGAAGCCAGTTCAGTATCACTGTGCGGTGGATTGACTTTTAAGTTAATTCCATCAAAACATGGTTCTTGAGTTTTCGACAGCTACTCACTAGTAGCCCAGTTTCTTGAGCCTGGGCTGACCCAGGAAAGTCTGGCACAGCAAGTCTAGTGGAACTCCATGCCTGAGGTGGACAGTTTCCCTAAGGCAGGCAGTCTCTTTCTCACCCTCCTCAGAGGGGCCACCCACTTCCACAAAGAGGTTTAGACTCAGTTAAAAATGAGTGGCTGGCTCGGCGCCTGTGGCTCAAGTGGCTAAGGTGCCAGCCACGTACACCCAAGGTGGCGGGTTCAAATCCAGCCGGGGCCCGCCAAACAACAATGACAGCTGTAACCAAAAAATAGCCGGGCATTGTGGCAGGCTCCTGTGGTCCCAGCTACTTGGGAGGTGGAGGCAGGAGACTCACTTGAGCCCAGGAGTTGGAGGTTGCTGTGAGCTGAAATGCCACCTCGCTCTACCCAGGGGGACAGCTTGAGGCTCCTGTCTCAAAAATAAATAAATAAATACAAATAAAAATGAGCAGCTGAGGCCAGGCGAGGTGGCTCATGCCAGTAATCCGAGCACTCTGGGAGGCCGAGGTAGGTGGATTGAGATCAGCCTGGGCAAAAGCAAGACCTTGTCTCTGTTAACAATAGAAAAACTAGCCAGGCTTCATGGTCTTAGCTACTCGGGAAACTGAGGCAAGAAGATCTCTTGAGGTCAAGAGTTTGAGGTTGCTGTGAGCTCTAACCATGGCACTTTACCCAGTGCAACAGGGTAAGACTCTGTCTCAGAAAAAAGCAGCTGATCGCTGGCTACAAAGCACTAAACACCAACAAAACTTGACTTTGAAGTAAAAGAAGAATCTAATGAGAAAGCACCTTCCACAAAATCACAAAAGGCCTGCACTTCAAGGGTATTATATGTTAAATATACCAAGCAGTTGTTAAAGATGTGCACAGAGCTAACTCTCCATTAGTTAACTTGGTTTACCCCAATGAATGGGATGTTTTGCTAGGACCCTTAAAGGAGGGGCACTGCAAAAGACAATTCAAGTGGATAATTCAAAGTAGTGAAGACCATTTTCACTTGCCGAAAGAAAGAAAACGTTAAAAATATTCTGAGCCACTCACATGCATAACCAAATGTGAGGACTCAATACTGAGGCTCTAAAGCCAACCCGATCTTGACAAACCCAGGTCAGTTTAGGTAAAGAAAGAAAACAGCTAACCTAACACAAGCAAGTATCTTCCTAGGAAAAAGTACAATAGAATGAGAAGGATGTTGGAGGAAAAGGGAAATATAGGAGAGAAATACGCTTTCTTTTCAGCCTGGGAGAAACTGTACTTTATGAACACACAGTTAAGCTGAGACAAATACTTAAAGCATTGCACTATTTAAAAACATTTTTTAAAATCTCTTTTGCTTGTTTCAGAGAGAGGAAGAGAGGAATGATTTTCAGCTATAAAGTCCAATCAGGAACTCTGAAGTGACTCACAAGGCTTTGATTGTCTTGAGGGAAATTCCCAAACACCAGTAAGTAGAAGAAGCCCCCAAACTGGATTTGTAGCTTCTTTTCTGTGGTCTGGTGTGCTAAGCACCAGGTTTAGTGTTAACATCTGATCCAAAATACCAGGTGGGTAGACTGTCTCTTCCCCTTCTAAACAGATACACTCACAGACACAGAGGCATCTACATTCATAGATAACTAAACCTTTTCTAAATACCAACCTAAACTTAATTTCTCCAAAGCTAAATCTGCCTCCCCAACGCTCCTATCCATTTTCCAGAAGACATTTCCAAATCAACAGCACCTGTCCACATCCAAAGCTCTGCTGAGCTTAAGAGGCGAGGCAAAGAGAGAAAAATAGGGGATTTTGTTGGTTTTGTTTGTTTTTGTTTTTCTTTTGAGATACGGTCTCACTCTGTAGCCCAGGCTGGAGTGCCATGGCGCAATCATACCTCACCGCAGCCTCAAACTCGTGGACTCAGGCAAAACTTTCTGAGTAGTGGGACCTACAAGTTAGCACTACCATGCCGGCAATTCCTTCAGTTTTTGGTAGAGATTAGAGTCTCACTCAAGCGATCCTCCCGCCTCAACTTCCAGAAATAGTAGGATTCCAGACGTGAGCCACCGCTCCCAACAGCAAATGTTTTTTGCGGGAAATAGATTTGTGTTTTAGGGAGCCGGAGCGCACAACAGCCGCGATGGCTCGGCGCGCGGCCCCCAGGGGCGCAGGTGTAGCGCTGGCCCTCTTTGCCCTCGCGTTGCCCCAACTCCCGGCCTCAAGCCCAAGCGCCGCAGCTCGGCACCCGACACGCCGCCTCGGAAGCCGGCGCGGCTGACCCGGAGCCGCTTACCTGAGGCTAGATCCTGCGTGCGATGCCGGCGCCCGGCCGGGGCAGCTGCTGTGGGCGCCCGCTGGGCTCAGCGTCCGCCTCCGCCTCCGCACGCGCCCCGGCTGCGCCGCCGCCCCGCACACTACCACCCGCGGTCCCCGCTGCCACCCTATTTAGGGAAGGAGGCGGCGCCCGGCGGGGAGGCGGCCCGGGCAGGGTAGGGCCGACCGGCGGGAGCTGGCCGCCACCGGGGACGGAGGCGTATAGGAGCGGGAGCAGAGAGCCAGGGGCGCCTTCGGGGCCCGTGACCGTGCACCCGAGGAATCCGGGAAAGTGGGCACCTCGACGCTCCCGGGCCGGGCCGGGGGCCGGCGAGTTGAGGTTCTCTCCCTGGCCGCTGGGACGGCGCGCTGCGCTGGCCGAGATCCGGGCAACAGGGAGGGGAGCAGCTCCCCTTCTAGGCCGGGAGACCAGAATTCCGGAGAGTCGAGAGAAAGCTGCGGAGCAAAGTGTCAAGGAGAAAGTGCTTGTCTCCGTTTCCAGCGCTGTCGCGGCCCAGCGGAGTAGGGTCCAGAGTCCCCGCCGCCACGCCCTGGGCCGCCGCACTGTCTGGAGCAGGTACACCCAGTGGCCAAGTAGCCCTGCTGCTGCTTCGAAGACTTTGACTTGGGGTCACTGGATCAAGTGCCTCGCCGCGAGCTCCCCATCCAACAGGTCATGGACACACGGAGTCACAGAACGTGTGCTCCACGCCCGAGCCATTCACGCCCCAAGATTGGAGCCCGCGCAGGGCCAGCTCCGTCCCTTCCGCACTCACGCGTACGCACAGAGCCCTCCTTTGCCGTAGAACCCCCTTCCTAGTTTTCTACCACTAATGATCTACCGGAATTAAACTGGTAACTTTCCCTGCCCTTGAACCGAGAGTTTCGGGATGGGTTTGCTAATCCTCGTGCTATTTGTAACCTGCCCCGTGACACGTGACAGGGATCCAACTGTGCTGGTTTCCACACCAGAGGCCAGCGTGCTGTAGAAGGTGAGCCAAGGACTCTCCACCCAAGCACAGGGGCGCCCAGCCCTGGGGACTTCCCCACCATGCCTGTTACCCTTAGCTTCTGGTTCTCCTGGCCTGAAACCCTATCTGGAAATAAGGCCTGTCGGAGCAACCTTTTAAAAGTGCAAGCTCTTTACCTGCCGGATAGAGCTAGATGTTTCCGATGGTTCTCACTAAGTATAGGTTAGGCTCAGCTCTGAGCCTTTGTCAGAGGAAGGCAAACAGGACAGGGTGGTTCTCAGGGCTTTTGGCCTGGAGAGGTGGTGTGGGTGAGGTACTGGTTTACAGGGAAGGCAGGTGGGACAAGTTTCAGCCCTTAGAATTCAGTGGGACACTTGCCTTGGTGGCCAGATGTGGACTTTCCCACAGCTAGGGTGCTCTGACCTCTGTGAACCTGTCATAACTAAATAACAGCCCTGCTTATCACCATAATGAATACTAGCATTCGCCACCCCTCATGCCGTGCCAGCTTCTGCCCTCTCCCTACAGCCAGTCTCCAGCAGCTCGGAAGGGCTCAGGAAACTTAGGAAACCAGTTATTTGTCAGTTAAGGAAACTGAGGCCAAAAGAGTAAGCTGATGTGAGCAAGGGTCTGAGTGAGACCTCCTGACCATTCAGTGTTCCTCCTAAGTATGCCTGCCACCCAGAGGACATAGGGTGCTGGGATCTTAGGAAACATTTTTGCCATGCCAGGTAGAGGATCTCCATAGGCCATTATAACAATACAGGCATTGTAGTATCCTGTCTGGGTAGGAGCTGTCCTTCTGGTCAAAGATTCAAGATATACTGCTTTCTGGAAGGGCAGTCAGTATGTCCAGCTAACAAGCAGATAACAGTGGCGATTGCACAACACACCAGCTTTCTAAGAACTCTGTAGGATGTGTCCCCTCTGACACAGGACTGCTAATAGCTCTTTATGTTCTTTGTAGGTGAAGAGCTGTTAGCAGGCCTGTAGCAGCAAAGGGTTTCCAGTTCCTTGCCCTGCTCATTCTTCCCTCCTACCTTATTTGAAACTCAATCTCTGGCCATGTTGTCGTGTGCAGACCTGCAAGGGGCCTGTTGACACAGCTGCCCCTCTGGTGCCACATGACTGCGGGCTCACCACCCATGACAGACTGAATGTCCTGGCACCAAGGACAATCGGATTAGACTCTACTTGGGATATCTGCTGCTTGGACTGTTTGTGTCTTTGGGGGCCCATTGGACTAAATTAAACTCTTTGGAAACTGATCATTGATCAAGTATGAAAGATACAGCCACAAGCTTCAAGGTGCTTATCTTCATAGCAGACCCAGTCTTAGGAAAGAAGCTGGCTAGCCTTGTTGTATCTAAAACCAAGCAGTCGTTATGGTTGTAAGAAAAGAGAAAAACTAGATGAACCTTGCACTCAGTGAATATGGAGGGATAAAGCTGAGCCATGCACACTTTCATTCATTCAGTGATACTGAGCACCTACCATGTACTGGTGAAACAGACAAGATCCTTTGCGCTCATGGAACTTCTATTAACAAGAGAGACAATAAAATATGTGTATTGTACAGAGTATTAGACCTGATTAAGTGGAAAACAATACATCACAGAAGGGAACTGAGGAGTGCTGGGAGATCCCAATTTAAACAGGAAAGTTAGGGATGGGATATTTAGGAAGGTGATGTTGTAGCAGAAGCTTGAAGGGAATGGGGAGGCAAGCATATCAATTATCTGTTATCATATAACAGATAACCCCGGAAAAAAGATGTATTATCTCCTATAGTTTCCGAGGATCAGGAACCTGGGGGGTGGTTTGGTTGGGTGCTTCTGGCTCAGGGTCTTTCAGGAGGCTGCAGCAAGCCGTTGGCCATGGCTCCAGGCACCTGCAGGCTTGACAGGGGCTGAAGGATCTGCTTCCAGGTGCCCCACTCACACAGCTATTGGAGGAGGCCTGTTTATCAGCATGCAGACTCCCGCACATAGTTTCCTGGCTGTTCTCCTGAAAGTGGCTTCTCCTTGCCTGAGTGATGCAAGAGAGACAAATGGGGGAAATTCACTGCCTGTCTGGAATCCCACATCCTCCATTCTTTATATTCTATTTCTTAGAATCAAGTCACAAAGTCAAGAGGGGGGCATTGGGCTTTACCTCTATGGGGAAGGGGGAGTATTTTGTGATATTTGGGGGAAGAAGGGAGGAGTGCTTCGGGCAGAGATAACAGCAAGTGCAAAGGCCCTGGGGTGGGAGCATTCATATTAGTGTATTTGAAGAAGAGCAAGAGGCTTGGTGGCTAAAGCCAGTGAGCAGGGAGAAGAGTAGAAGAGGAGGTAAGAGGGGAAAGGCATGTGTGTGGCCAAGTGCACATGTGATGTAGGACCTCATAGGCCATCCTAATACTTTGAGTGTAGGGGAAGCCTTTAATGGTTTTTAAGCTGATATGATGTGATCTGAGTTACTTTTTAAAAGAAATTGGTGACTGCTGTAGAGAGAATAGCCCAGGGAGGAGGAAGGATGTAAGGGAGAAGGCTGGTTAGGAAGCTGTAATAACAACTCGGGAGACCTGCTTTGGCTTGTATTTGAAGGGGATAAATGTGATGCGATTCTGGATGTGTCTTAAAAATAGAATCAACAGGATTTTCCATGGAGTGGAGATGGGCTTCAATCCCAAGGTTTTGGGTCTGAGCCAAGTGGAAGGAAGGTTCTGGCACTGAGCAAGATGGGGGCACCTGTGGAGGGAAAGGTTTGAGGGGGAGGCTTTAGAGTCCAAGTGAGGCATGTTAACTTTGTCCATTAGACATCCGAGTGGGGAAGCTGAGTAGGCAATTGAATATGCAAGCCTGGAGTTGAGGAGTGCTGGAAGGAATACTTTCTTGTGGTCTGTCAGCAATAGTTATTACAAAATCAAAGAGGCTGGGCCACCTCTCTGGAAGGGTTTACTTGTATATAGTAGCTACACCAGCCTCGTAACAATCGCTCCTACTGAGGGCTCCAAACACACACCCACTGGGCAGATTTCAGATATTTCGGGGGTGGAGGTGGGGGGAGAGAGAGTGGCTGGGAGGAATGAATTTCTGCCAGTGTAGGCGTTCCCAGAGCAGTGCCCTAAGGAACACGTACCCTTCATAGCCCACACGTTTCCCCCCAGAGCACTGCCCATCCCAAGCCGCAGCCCAGGGCAAATGGTGTGGATTGGCTGGTAGAGTTCAGGGTCTCCATTGTTTAGAATTCACAACATTGAAGAAAGACAAGCAATCAATCAAATCTAATTCTCATCCCTTTCTCTCTCTGATTCTGCTCCACATTAACCTTAGCACCCAGAAGCGTGCTTCCCTCTCTTCCAATTCCTGATGTTTTCTAAGACCTTGCTAGATCTGGTTTATAGGAATTTGCTCTTAAGTGCTTCGTCCTGGGTCTACACTTCAACAAATATTTCCAGGACTCCCAGTGACTCCTCTAACTCCACCTGTGCCCCACCCAGCTCCAAAACCCTGCAAAGGTGCTGCCAGCACCCCTGGGGCATTTCCCTCCTCCCCAGCACCTATGCGGGATTTAGACCTAGGGCTCTGAGGGCCACGGCAAGGGCTGTTGTCTGACATGCCAAGTCTGAGGATTTAGACTGGGCCCCTTAGCTGAGTCATAATGCAAAGGCTATTCTTTTGCAGAGTCAGGTTGTGGCCTGGGATGGCTGTTGACTGTATACAGTTAACAGCTCAGCCTGAGCCAGGGGTGTGGAATGCAAGGAGTTCTTTCAGGAAGAGTAAGAATTGTGTGGAGTACAGAGCCTGATGGGGATGCCTCTGTCCTGCCACTGAGGGAGAGCGGCCCCTCAACAGTGGCCCCAGCATCTGGGCAGCAGCTAGAGGAGACCAGCATGCTGATACTAAGAGATGTGTGGGAACCATGTTAGGGCTCTCCTGGCCTCTCCTGCTGCTGACTGGACCCCAAGAATGAATTGTGTCTCCCAAGCAAGTAAAAAGGGGATGACTCAGACTGAGTCTAGATCCTGGCCTTGCTGCTTATTAGCTGTGTGACTGCAGGTAAGCAAACCTCTTCTCTGTGCCTCAGTGTCCTTCTCTATAACACAGGAAAGAGCAGCCCATCCTCAAAGGATGTCTTGTGTGCGGAGTAAACATCTGCACACGGAGGGCATCAACAAGAGTACTTCTCTGTAACTACTGCTCACCCAGCCACTCACCTCA